AAATCTGCATCGCTAAAGTGTGGCTTTCACAATTTTATAAATCAAACTAAATAAATAGCAACTTCACTTTGAAAAGAATAAGAACTCTAATACTGTTACATAAGCATGAATGTTTTATGGGCTATTGCCAGTGAGAAATTACGGCATTCCGTTGCTTGGGCTGCTCGCCTGGGAACGGTCCCTGAATTTTCATTAAAACAGATGAAGCCTTATATTTTAACTAAACATATTCATGGCAAATTATTTAACAGCAGTTGGATTTCTCCCACCCACCCCCAGATGTAATTTATAGCACACTTTGCATCTCCTCTGTCTGCATCTTGGTGCTCTTTAATTTTTGAGCACTTCTTTTGTCCTCGCTGTGCTTGAAAATGAGCAGATGTCAGGACTGGTTTCCACCTTGTAAATGAACTGAAATGGATTTTACATTTCTGTAAGCCTCCTGTGGCAAAGTAAAAAATTCTTTGTGTAAATCTCAGCATAACCTCATGTTGTCAGACAAGGTACATATATTCTGACAGCATCCATGGATTTCACTGGCTTTATCATGATGATAAAATAGACACACAAACAACAGATATTACTAGGGCTGAGGCAACTGCGAGGCAAGATTGTTTGTCTTTTAAAAGAAAAGAAGGATAAAAATACAAAAACTTCAGAAAGTAATCTTGTTTTGTGCAACATCCAATCCATTTGGCCTGGCCTGCACTGTTAGCTTGACGTAAATTACTCTTTGAGGATTAGTTGCTCTGATAAGGCCGAAATCCCCATCATCACTTTCAAGGGTTAATAACAATTATATTAATTAAATAGGGCAACACACTGTGCCTTCTCTTTAAAATTTCAAAAGAAAAAAAATGCACCCAGTCTGATTAGATTTCCTATTTTTGTTGGGGATTTGTTTCGTGTAATATCAGGCAGAATTCTATTTCATGAAGATTTTCAGTGGTGATAGTCTCTTAATTAGGCAAAGAGAACAGATTAAAAGAAGCAGGATTGGTGTTCTCTGGTAAATCTTATAAATGCTTCCCTCAGATAATGCTTGAGGTGCATTGGTGCTTGCTCAGCATTTGGAAACATCACGATAAATGTTGTAATTCATTTATTAAACTAGAAGCTGTCTTAGAAGGGAGTTATCACATGGTTGCCCAGCTTTCTGGACCTCTCACAGCCAGTATCTTCTTTTTACTTTTCAATGGAATTAATTGTCTTTTCCTAATGTTCACTATAGTACTTATGCAATAGATCAGTGTTTCTCAACCTTGACAACTTGAAGATGTCCAGACTTCAACTCCCAGAATTCCCCAGCCAGCAAATGCTGGCTGGGGAATTCTGGGAGTTGAAGTCCAGACATCTTCAAGTTGCCAAGGTTGAGAAACACTGCAATAGATTATCATTTTGTTTCTTTGTTCTCTTCATCCTTTTAAATTGTAATCTTTAGGCCAATGTTTTCAACTATGCTGGGTGGGGAATTCTGGAAGATGAAGTCCTCACATCTTAAACTTGCCAAGGTTGAGAAACACGGCTTTAGGCAGTCAAAACGGTAATGGTAACTTCAAATGAATGTTTTTTAGCACATTTCCAACAATCCTTTTCCTTTGTACAATCAAAGGAAGTATTCTTATGAATTCTAAATTAATTGTGCTTGCTCAACATGTTATATCAGAGCCGATTGAAAGCCAAATTATAAGTTTACTGTAGGAAATGTGCTAAAAAACATTCATTTGAAGTTACCATTACCGTTTTGACTGCCTAAAGCCGTGTTTCTCAACCTTGGCAA